ATGCAGATTTTAAACAGAAATATATAAAATGGGAAGAAGAGTGGAGAAAGGGATGCAGATTTTAAACAGAAATATATAAAATGGGAAGAAGAGTGGAGAAAGGGATGCAGATTTTAAACAGAAATATATAAAATGGGAAGAAGAGTGGAGAAAGGAATGCAGATTTTAAACAGAAATATATAAAATGGGAAGAAGTTGAGATAAAAGACGCAGAAGAAAAGGAAGAAGAAAAAATATGAATGATTTGTGATGGATTGAGTTTGTGGGATTATTTTGAAAATGAAGAGAGAAAAATGTTAAGGAGAGATGGAAGGATAGAAGAAGATGAAGGGGAGGGGTAGAGAGGGGGGAGGGAAGTGTGTTAAACGAGGCTTAGAAGGATAGAAAAGGAGGGAGGGATTGGGTTGAGTGGGTAGGGGAGGTTGTGAAAGGAGGAAGGAAAGAGTTAAGAGAGGTGGGAGGGAAGGGTGTTAAACCAGGGATGGAAGAATGGTGAAGGAGGAATGAAGACTGAAGAGGGGAGAGGATTAAAAAAACATAAATTTTATGAAAAGTTACATAAACATTTTACGAAGTAAAAAAATCGGTCAATATTGTTTTGCATAAGGATGTTGTTTAGCTGCCTAGGTTTAAGGCCTATTCCAAGGCCTTGACGAATTTTTAAAATTTAAATTCTAAGAAACATGATCTTGTGTAGTCACCAGTCCGCGCACTATAAAATAAAAATAGAATTATGAAATGATTTTAGATAGATTTTTTTTTGGCTCTAGACTAATATAATATTGATATTTAATGTTTATATATTTTATAAGCTAATTTCTTCACTTTATTTTGACCAAATTAACTGGATTAAAAAAAAAATGAAATAAATCAACTAAGCCTAGAAATATACTCGTTTGTATAACATTCTGCACAGAGTTTTGATCTGCACTGATGTACTTTGCAATTCGCAAACTTTATAAGGAGAGCCATGTCTGGCCGGGCTCAAAACTGGTTTTTTTTTGTAACATCCATGTCAAAGCAGGCATTTTTCTTTAAATACTGATTTTCTAATTCTTATATCTTTGCAATATGATGTCGTAATCTTTTGATTTTAAACTATTAATTTTGTAAGATCAAATAGCCTAAGTTTGAAATATAAACAGTTTACACTATCAAGTTGCAAAGATATTGGGATTGGCAAAACTTGAGTTGGTGGCCGACAGTTATATTTTGACAAACCTATGACAGACATATGTTGATAGAAAAATTTTGACAGATATATTTTGACAGATATATTTTGACAGATTCATTTTGACAGGTATATTTTGACAGATTTAATTTGACAGTTACATTTGACATACATTTGACTAATTATTAAAATATAATTTAACACATATTTTGACTTATTTTGTCAGATATACTTTGACAGATTCAATTTGACAAACTTATATTGACCAATATATTCAGAAATATTCAGCCATCATATTTATCTATTGTTTAAATGGTTTAACCAGAAACCAATGATCAATCAATCAATCAATCAATCTAACTATCTATCTATCTACCTGTAACTATGTGGTTTCACACTTCATCATTCACTGGAAGAATATCTGTACAGTGTATTCTACGTCCTGTGATATTTTTTTCGCAGACTTTTGCATTAAAAAAAC